AGATTTTAGCGGATACAGGGGTCCAATAGGAAAGACTCCGTATCTGTGGTTTTAACGGACGCAGATTCGGCCTCCCTGGGACGCCCAGAAGGCATCCCAGGCGGGCTCACGGCTGCCCAGAGCCCGGAAAGAAGTTTATTTCGGGTCTGAGTTAGTTTGAGGCAGGGGAAGATACAATGTATCAAGTGAAAAGTCTAAAAAGTTGCAAGTTTCAAGTACCTTTACTAGAGATTAGATACAAAGTTAGGGCTAGAGAGAAAGTAATAGAGGCTGAGTGCATTCTTAGTTGGAGCTGCCTGTTGGGTCACATTACATCAGTTTTTTTCCAATTGTTGCTACCATGAACTGCGGAACTCTCTGCTGCAGCGCAGAGCAATTACTGGGTGGGGGCTCTCGGCACCAGGATGGGGAAGGAGATATTTGATATGAATCTCTGTGGATTTCTGTATTCCCCCATGTATTTTCCTTATTCTTGCCCTGACACCCAAACCTATCACTCCTTCCCCCTCCCCTTGGGTAAATCAATCCAGGAAGCGGCCAGCTGTTGAAAGGGCAATCAGAGGCAACAAAAGAAACTCATATCCCAGAACTCTGGCGAGGACAATAAGACCTGGAATCCCTATGTGGCTCCAGGATTAAGGCCATTGGGCTGGGGATTTCCTTCTGCAGACTTTTGGCCATTTCACAATAGGAGCAAGACGCCCCTCAGGGGGCCGCCTTCCCAATTTTGTTTATTTCATTCAAAACCGGACATTTCCCCAGCCTCCCCTTTTGTGCCCTATCTGATTGTGGCAGGAAGGCCAGGATGAAAGTAATCAAGGATCAATGTATTGTCGAAGGCTTTCATGGCTGGAATCACTAGGTTCTTGTGGGTTTTTCGGGCTATAGGGCCATGTTCTAGAGGCATTTTCTCCTGACGTTTCGCCTGCATCTATGGCAAGCATCCTCAGAGGTAGTGAGGTCTGTTGGAATTAGGAAAATGGGTTTTATATATCTGTGGAATGACTGGGGTGGGGCAAAGAGCTCTTCTCTGCTGGAGCTAGGTGTGAATGTTTCAACTGACCACCTTCATTAGCATTTGAAGCCTGAGCCTGGGAAAATCTTTTGTTGAGAGGTGTTAAGATGTGCCTGGTTGTTTCCTCTCTGTTGTTTTGCTGTTGTAATTTTAGAGTTTTTTAATACTGGTAGCCAGATTTTGTTCATTTTCATGGTCTCTTCCTTTCTGTTGAAATTGTCCACATGTTTGTGGATTTCAATGGCTTCTCTGTGTAGTCTGACATGGTGGTTGTTGGTGTGGTCCAGCATTTCTGTGTTCTCAAATAATATGCTGTGTACAGGCTGGTTCATCAGGTGCTCTGCTATGGCTGACTTCTCTGGTTGAAGTAGTCTGCAGTGCCTTTCATGTTCCTTGATGCATGTCTGGGCCGCTGCGTTTGGTGGTCCCTCTGTAGACTTGTCCACAGCTGCATGGTATACGGTAGACTCCTGCAGAGGTGAGAGGATCCCTCTTGTCCTTTGCTGAACGTAGCATTTGTTGGATTTTCTTGGTGGGTCTGTAGATAGTTTGTATGTTGTGTTTCCTCATCAGCTTCCTAACGTCAGGAGAGAATGCCTCTAGATGTATGGCAGGAACACTTTCCCTCTGGGTGGATCTTCATCTTTACTCTGGCTTGTTCTTGGTCTTGCAGCTCTTCTGATGCCTGAGGTGGAGTGTCCATTGGCCTGGAGAGCCCAGTAGAGGTGATTCAGTTCATCTTGGAGAACCCCACCTCCTCGTCAGGAGAAATGCCTCTAGAACATGGCCCTATAAACCCACAAGAACCTAATCAAGGATCATCGCAACTCCACTCAAGGACAATAGACTGGGCATCGCATCCATTGATTCATTTGCTGGCTCATTGTTTCTGTTTTCATCCTGCCTCTCTCAAGGTGCTCAAGCAGGGAAAGCTCTCCCATTGGAGGGAAGAGGGAGGAAGTTTTGAAACTTTCAAACCTGTATTTTGCTATACATATGCCTCTGATCAATGTACTGGGATGCTTTGTGTGCGATCTATCACCACATTGCATCTGTCTCAGCTGAATCGCTCATTAAACCTCGGTGCCACTTCTTCGCTTTGGCAAGAGTCTCATTTCTAATTTTAATATTAATAAAATTGCTGGAATCTGTTGGGGTTCAGCCTGAGTTTGAACTTGAACCTGATTCTCTGTTTGTTCCTCCTGATGCTAATGAAAATATATTTACTGATGCTAATGAAAATGTACTTCCTGATGCTAATGAAAATGTACTTCTTGATGTCAATGCTCCTGAAATTAGTGAGGAAGAAACTTCTGTAGATTTGGGAAATGAAAGTACCAGTGTTCATGAGAATGTTTCAGAGGGAAGCCATGACCTTTCACTCCCTTCTGCACCTGGGAACCTTAATGAGAACAGAAGGGGCCAGATCTGGCAAGGCAGGAGTGAATCACTCAGCTTGCGAAGGTCTTCCAGATTAAAAGAAATACAAACAATGGCTTCAAAGCAGGGAGGCGTTTCACGAAACCAATTCCTCGGCTTTAAGTGCCTTCCGCCGGGCTGACTTTCTCAGTTCAGGCATCGTTTCAGATTGATGAAGACCTTGGCAGTTCTCCCGGTTCCCTGGCCATCGTCTTGAAAGATTTCTAGGATATCAAGTACGGTTAGTGGATTGCTAACAGGTTCCAGTATTTCACAGTGAGGCTTTTGGTTTTGCTTTGTCCATTTAAATTCATGTTTGCTGATTTTGCTGCGGCTTTTGACTTGCATTTTTCCTTTATTTTGTAATCATTTTTCTTCAATAAAAAAGGATTGTTTTTCACAGTCAAGTGTGGTGGATAGTTATCTTAGGGCCTCGTTCCCTACTCTGGATCGCAACAATAAGTACTATTGAGAACTAGCCAAGGCAGCGTTCCCTCTTTGGTGGGAACTAAGGATCCTCTCCCCTTGGAGTTGACCCCCCTAAAGTCTAGTTTGACTTCAAAACTACAACTCTCAGGAGCCTCAAGGTCTGGCTATTCTGCAGCCAAAATCCTACAAAGTTTGGGATCTCCCAAAATGCATCTTTTGTATGGAAATGCAGTTTAAAACACTTTTGACTACCATGGATCCTTATTATGGAATCCTGGGAGTTATAGTACCACAAGGGCTGTGTGTACACTGTAGAATTAATTGTAGAATTGACCGTATTTTAAGGCTATGGCTGCTACTGCTGCATTCAGGTGCAAAGAGAATGCCAACACGCTCTTGTTTTTCCTTGAATTCCTTTTATTTCTAAATAAACACCTCCAGTAACAAGGTATGAAAGCCCCCTCCCTTTGAATCCCCAAGAAATGCAAAAGAGGAGCTTCAGGGAAGCAAAAAACCCCTTTAACAAAACAGTCATCAAACCCGAGATTTCAAGAACAGTCCAAAAATATTCCAGCCCAGAGGACAAAATAGACGTTTTCAAGTGGGGGGGGGGGTGTTTTGCAGGAAGGAAGGAGACACGAGGAGACAGAGAAGCCCAAGAGACGCAGCCGCCTGAAGACACTCCGGAGCCCCGACAGCCTGATGGAAAGACCCCAAAAGGTTAAATCCCCCTCCCGCTCCCCCCAAATCGTTAACTGGCCATCAAAACCCCAAAAGGCAGCAAGAGGAATCTACGGAAGGACAGAATCAGAAATTACCACAAAAGATGGATAGATCATTGATTGATTGATTGGTTGGTTGGTTGGATAGCTAGATGGAAGAGAGATGGTTGAAAGGGAAATGAACTGATGAATAGATGGATAAAGGGATAGAGAGAAGGATAGGTGGGTAGGTAGGTGGATGGATACATGGATACATGGTAAGATAGTTGGATGGATAGATGGTTGGATAGATAGATAGATAGATAGATAGATAGATAGATAGATAGATAGATAGATAGATAGGACAGAGAAATGGGTAGATGGATAAAGAGGTAAATGGATAGATGGATATATTAAGGGATGGATGGAATGGATGGATGGATGGATGGATGGATGGATAGATAGATAGATAGATAGATAGATAGATAGATAGATAGAAGAGAGTGAAAGGTGATGGATGGATGGTAGGTAGGTAGATAGATAGGAAGATAGATATAGATAGATAGATAGATAGATAGATAGATAGATAGATAGATAGATAGATATGATAGAGAAATGGGTGGATGGATAGATGGGTAAATGGATAGATGGATAGATGAATGGATAGATAGATAGATAGATAGATAGATAGATAGACAGACAGATAGACAGACAGACAGACAGACAGACAAGCAGGTAGGTAGGTAGGTAGACAGACAAGCAGGTGGGTAGGTAGGTAGATATGCATATAGTTAGATAAATAGATTGATTGATATGATATGATATGATATGATAGAGAAATGGGTGGATGGATACAGGGGTAAATGAATAGATGGATAGATGAATGGATAGATAGATATACAGGTAAGTAGACAGATAGATAAGCAGATAGATAGATAGAGAGAGAGAGATGTAAATAGATACAGATGTAAATACTGTAGGTAGGTAGGTAGGTAGGTAGGTAGGTAGATACTAGATATGAATGTAAGTAGATAGAAACAGAGGTAAGTAGATAGATAGATAGATAGATAGATAGATAGATAGATAGATAGATAGATAGACAAACAGACAAGCAGGTAGGTAGGTAGACAGACAAGCAGATGGGTAGGTAGGTAGATATGCAGGTAGATAGATGATAGATAGATAGATAGATAGATAGATATGATAGAGAAATGGGTGAATGGATAAAGTGGTAAATCGATAGATGGATAGATGAATGGACAGGCAGACAGACAGACAGATAGACAGACAGACAGATAGACAGACAGACAGACAGACAAGTAGATAGGTAGGTAGACGAACAGACAAGCAGGTAGGAAGGTAGGTAGAGAGAGAGAGAGATAGACGGACAGACAAGCAGGTAGGTAGGTAGGTAGAGATAGATAGATAGATAGATAGATAGATAGATAGATAGATAGATAGATAGATAGATAGATAATTTATGCCACTGTTTAGTTTGGTGCCAGTCATGAACTCTGCTCCTGCTGCAACGTTTTCAAGAATTCTTAATTCAGAAGGAATTGCATGATCATTGCAGAGAATGGGGAAATCCCAGCCAGGTTCCCATGGAAGCCAAACCTGGGGGATTCATTTCAGAAGAGAAGAACAACATGGATAGGAAGCGGGGCCTGTTTCCCTCTTTCCAAATCCCCAGGAGTGAAGAGTGCAAGTCTTCATGGCTCCCCTTCCAACCCACGACCATCTCCCATTGCAAAAAGAAGAAACAAATAAAGGAATTATGGAAAGGAGGACGAGAGAGAATGTGCACAAAGAGAGTCAGTGCTGGACCCCAGAAAGAGCGAGCACTTGAAGAATGGCAGGACTTTTCCAATCTGCAGAAAGGTTTCCCTCTGCTGCGCCACCAGCCCTGGCCCCGAGTGCGAGAGATGCCAAAGTGTGTTGGGGGGAATCAAGCCTTTCTCTCTCTCTTTTTTGGAAAAACGCAAACGCTTACACAAACCCAATAAAAAGGGGGTGGTGCCCAGGCAGGTGGGTCGAGACCCGCAGCCATGGACAAAGGGGCAGTCGGTCAGTTGACGCTGTCCTCGTCGCTGGCCTCTCCCCGCTCGTCCTTGGCCTCCTCGGAGAGGCTGCTCTCGTCGATGTTCTCCAGGGAGTCGGCGTGCTGGATGGCCAGCTCCGAGAGCGAGAGCGGGGACAGCGTGTTCTGCTCCGGGAACAGCCAGGGCTTGAAGGGCGGGTTGTGCCGCTGCTTCCACTCCGGGTACTTCAGGCAGGCCTTGTGCATCTTCTTCATGGTCTGAAACGTGGGGAGGGGGTCCAGCAAAGGGTTAACAGCAGGCACTCAGGCCTTCTGACCTAGTCTACCTGCTGCTTGATTTATCTGTCTATCTCTCTATCTGAATCATTCATAGAAATCGACCCATCTATCCATCCAACCAACCAACCATCTACCCATCTATCCACACATCCATCCATCTTTCACCTCTATATTTCTACCTATCTTCTTTCTACCTATTTACTTAGCTGTTCATCCATCTACCTTCTTAACTGCCTACTTACCTTCTTTTTATCTATCTATCTATCTATCTATCTATCTATCTATCTATCTATCTATCTATCATCTATCTATCATCTATCTATCTATCTATCTATCATCTATCTATCTACCCCTACCTCTATCTATCTATCTATCTATCTATCTATCTATCTATCTATCTATTCATCCATCTACCATCTACCTACTTACCTTCTTACCTGTTTACTAATCTATCTCTATCTATCTATCTATCTATCTATCTATCTATCTATCCATTTACATACCTTTACTTTACATACCTTTCTTATCTATCCATCTATCCATCCATCCATCCATCCATCCATCCATCTACCCATCTATCCACACATCCATCCATCCTCCACCTCTCTCTCTTTCTACCTATCTTCTTATCTACCTACCTACTTAGCTGTTCATCCATCTACCTTCTTAACTATCTACTTATCTTCCTATCTATCTATCTATCTATCTATCTATCTATCTATCTATCTATCTATCTATCTAGCCATTCATCCATCTACCTTCTTACCTATCTACTTCCCTTCTTACCTGTTTACTATTCTATCTATCTATCTATCTATCTATCTATCTATCTATCTATCCATCCATCCATCCATTTATCCATTTATCTATTCACCTATCCATTTATCTATTCATGTACTTTCTTACTTACATACCTTTCTTATCTATCTATCTATCTATCTATCTATCTATCTATCTATCTATCTATCTATCTATCTATCTATCTATCTATCTATCTATCTATCTATCCATCCATCCATTTATCTATTCACCTATCCATTTATCTATTCATGTACTTTCCTACTTACATACCTTTCTTATCTATCTATCTATCTATCTATCTATCTATCTATCTATCTATCTATCTATCCATCCATCCATCCATTTATCTATTCACCTATCCATTTATCTATTCATGTACTTTCTTACTTACATACCTTTCTTATCTATCTATCTATCCATCCATCCATCCATTTATCCATTTATCTATTCACCTATCCATTTATCTATTCATGTACTTTCCTACTTACATACCTTTCTTATCTATCTATCTATCTATCTATCTATCTATCTATCTATCCATCCATCCATTTATCTATTCACCTATCCATTTATCTATTCATGTACTTTCTTACTTACATACCTTTCTTATCTATCTATCTATCTATCTATCTATCTATCTATCTATCTCATCCATCCATTTATCTATTCACCTATCCATTTATCTATTCATGTACTTTCCTACTTACATACCTTTCTTATCTATCTATCTATCTATCTATCCATCCATTTATCCATTTATCTATTCACCTATCCATTTATCTATTCATGTACTTTCCTACTTACATACCTTTCTTATCTATCTATCTATCTATCTATCTATCTATCTATCTATCTATCCATCCATCCATCCATTTATCTATTCACCTATCCATTTATCTATTCATGTACTTTCTTACTTACATACCTTTCTTATCTATCTATCTATCTATCTATCTATCTATCTATCTATCCATCCATCCATCCATTTATCTATTCACCTATCCATTTATCTATTCATGTACTTTCTTACTTACATACCTTTCTTATCTATCTATCTATCTATCTATCATCCATCCATCCATTTATCTATTCACCTATCCATTTATCTATTCATGTACTTTCCTACTTACATACCTTTCTTATCTATCTATCTATCTATCTATCTATCTATCTATCTATCCATCCATCCATCCATTTATCTATTCACCTATCCATTTATCTATTCATGTACTTTCCTACTTACATACCTTTCTTATCTATCTATCTATCTATCTATCTATCTATCTATCTATCTATCTATCTATCTATCCATCCATTTATCTATTCACCTATCCATTTATCTATTCATGTACTTTCTTACTTACATACCTTTCTTATCTATCTATCTATCAGTCATCCACCCATCTAGCTGTCTTATCTATCCATTCATAACTATCTCTATCTATCTATCTATCTATCTATCTATCTATCTATCTATCTATCTATCTAATCATATCCATCCATCCAACAATTTTTATCATCTAACTATCTATCTATCTATCTATCTATCTATCTATCTATCTATCCATCCATCCATCCATTTATCCATTTATCTATTCACCTATCCATTTATCTATTCATGTACTTTCCTACTTACATACCTTTCTTATCTATCTATCTATCTATCTATCTATCCATCCATCCATCCATTTATCTATTCACCTATCCATTTATCTATTCATGTACTTTCCTACTTACATACCTTTCTTATCTATCTATCTATCTATCTATCTATCTATCTATCTATCTATCTATCTATCTATCCATATCTATCTATCTATCTATCTATCTATCTATCTATCTATCTCTATCTATCTATCTATCTATCCATCCATCCATCCATTTATCTATTCACCTATCCATTTATCTATTCATGTACTTTCTTACTTACATACCTTTCTTATCTATCTATCTATCTATCTATCTATCTATCTATCTATCTATCCATCCATCCATTTATCTATTCACCTATCCATTTATCTATTCATGTACTTTCTTACTTACATACCTTTCTTATCTATCTATCTATCCATCCATCCATCCATTTATCCATTTATCTATTCACCTATCCATTTATCTATTCATGTACTTTCTTACTTACATACCTTTCTTATCTATCTATCTATCTATCTATCTATCTATCTATCTATCCATCCATCCATCCATTTATCTATTCACCTATCCATTTATCTATTCATGTACTTTCCTACTTACATACCTTTCTTATCTATCTATCTATCTATCTATCTATCTATCTATCTATCTATCTATCATCCATCCATCCATTTATCTATTCACCTATCCATTTATCTATTCATGTACTTTCTTACTTACATACCTTTCTTATCTATCTATCTATCCATCCATCCATCCATTTATCTATTCACCTATCCATTTATCTATTCATGTACTTTCTTACTTACATACCTTTCTTATCTATCTATCTATCTATCTATCTATCTATCTATCTATCTATCCATCCATCCATCCATTTATCTATTCACCTATCCATTTATCTATTCATGTACTTTCTTACTTACATACCTTTCTTATCTATCTATCTATCCATCCATCCATCCATTTATCCATTTATCTATTCACCTATCCATTTATCTATTCATGTACTTTCCTACTTACATACCTTTCTTATCTATCTATCTATCTATCTATCTATCTATCTATCTATCCATCCATCCATCCATTTATCTATTCACCTATCCATTTATCTATTCATGTACTTTCCTACTTACATACCTTTCTTATCTATCTATCTATCCTATCTATCTATCTATCTATCTATCTCTCATCTATCCATCCATCCATTTTATCTACCATCTTTATCTATTCACCTATCCATTTATCTATTCATGTACTTTCTTACTTACATACCTTTCTTATCTATCTATCTATCCATCCATCCATCCATTTATCTATTCACCTATCCATTTATCTATTCATGTACTTTCTTACTTACATACCTTTCTTATCTATCTATCTATCCATCCATCCATCCATTTATCCATTTATCTATTCACCTATCCATTTATCTATTCATGTACTTTCTTACTTACATACCTTTCTTATCTATCTATCTATCTATCTATCTATCTATCTATCTATCCATCCATCCATTTATCTATTCACCTATCCATTTATCTATTCATGTACTTTCCTACTTACATACCTTTCTTATCTATCTATCTATCTATCTATCTATCTATCTATCTATCTATCTCATCCATCCATCCATCCATCCATCCATCTACCCATCTATCCACACATCCATCCATCCTCCACCTCTCTCTCTTTCTACCTATCTTCTTATCTACCTACCTACTTAGCTGTTCATCCATCTACCTTCTTAACTATCTACTTATTTTCTTATCTATTTACCATTCTGTTTGCCTATCTATCTATCTTCCATCTCTCTCTCTTTCTACCAATCTTCTTATCTACCCACATACCTCTATTTATCTATTTGTCTATCTATCTATCAATCAATCGATCGATCGATCGATCTATCGATCTATCTACCCACCTAAGTGTTCATCCATCTACCTTCTTACCTATCTACTTATCTTCCTACCTATCTATCTCTTTCTATCTATCTACCTACCTACCTACCCACCTAAGCATTCATCCATCTACCATCTTCTCTATCTACTTACCTTCCTACTTGTTTATCTATCTGTCTGTCTATCTACTTACCCACCTAAGTGTTCATCCATCTACCTTCTTACCTATCTACTTATCTTCCTACCTATCTCTTTCTATCTATCTACCTACCTACCTACCCACCTAAGCATTCATCCATCTACCATCTTCTCTATCTACTTACCTTCCTACTTGTTTATCTGTCTGTCTATCTACCTACCCACCTAAGTGTTCATCCATCTACCTTCTTACCTATCTACTTCTCTTCCTACCTATCTATCTATCTATCTATCTATCTATCTATCTACCTACCTACCCACCCACCTAAGCATTCATCCATCTACCATCTTCCCTATCTACTTACCTTCCTACTTGTTTATCTATCTGTCTGTCTATCTACTTACCCACCTAAGTGTTCATCCATCTACCTTCTTACCTATCTACTTATCTTCCTACCTATCTCTATCTGTCTGTCTGTCTGTCTGTCTGTCTACCCACCCATCTAAGCATTCATCCATCTACCATCTTCCCTATCTACTTACCTTCCTACTTGTTTATCTATCTGTCTATCTACCTACCCACCTAAGTGTTCATCCATCTACCTTCTTACCTATCTACTTATCTTCCTACCTATCTCTATCTATCTCTTTCTATCTATCTATCTACCTACCTACCCACCCTTCCATCCATCCACCTTCTTTATCTACTCTATTCTATTATCTATCTATCTATCTATCTATCTATCTATCTATCTATCTATCTATCTGATCTATCATCTATCAATCATCTATCTATCTATCATCTATCTACTATCTATCTATCTACTACATACCTCCATCTACCTTCTTAGCTATCTACTTACCTTCCTACCTGTTTACTGTTCTATCTATCTACCCATATATCCGAATTATTCATAGGAATCATCAATCCATCGCTCTTCTTACCCTTCTACCCACCTACCTACCTGTTGATCCATCCATCTAGAGAGATGGATAGATGGATGGATTAGTGGATAAACAGACAGAAAGATAGGTAGGTAGGTAGGTAGGTAGGTAGGTAACTTATGCCCTCAAGTTTTCAATAATCCTTAAAAATCTATCTATCTCATGCCTGGGCAAACTTGGGCCCTCCCTCCAGGTGTTTTGGACTTCAACTCCCACCATTCCTAACAGCCGGTAGGCCTGATGGAGATGCACCCAGCCAGAGGCCCCTGCTATTGTTTGGATCTCCTCTCGTCGCTGGAAACCCAATATGCTGAGTCAAGTCAGCAAACCTAAACCTCTCCGTTCCATTGCTCTTTCTCGCTTCCTACCTTGTGTTTTGTACTTTCGTTTGCTGTTTTAATTAAATGTAGGTCTCATTACTTTAGATGACGCCAATCCCTCCCTGGTGCCATTGTGGGCCGAAGGTTTAATGTGATCCCAGGCAATGGAGGGAATTAATCAAGTGCCGGGCGCATGGAAAAGCAACGTTACGCTGCAACAGAATGCGTCACCGGAGAGCCTTGGCTGCATCCAGGTAATCTCTCCATCGATGGTGGACATTGGAAGAGGACAAAAGTGGGGCACGTTGACCCAACATACACACACATTGGGTGCATGCAGTTTGACACCTCCTTAACCGCTATGGCTAAAAGCTCTGGAATCATGGGAGTTGTAGTTTTATATCAAGGTCTTTTGCCTTCTCTGCCAAAGAGTGCTGCGGCCTCACCATGGCAGAGGCATCAAACTGCATTCATTCTGCAGCGCAGATGCATGCAATGCCTATTTCTGCAAAAGCCTTGCTTCTGTGCTATTTCCCCTTTTTTCACTCTCTCTCTGGCTGGGAACTGAATAACGCCTAATAATCTTTCCACCTCTAAATGCAGAGAAAACTATTATATATTGCTGGGTTAATATATTAATCTGGATGGCCATCTGCCTGGAGGGCTTTGATGGTGTTCTCCTGCCTGGCCAAAGGGAATTGGAATGGAGGGCCATTTGGAAGTCACTCTATGATGCTATGAACCATAAGCCTGCCTTTGCATTGTCTGCCTTGAATATACTACTACTACTAATAATAATAATAATAATAATAATAATAATAATAATTATTATTATTATTATTATTATTCTCCAAGTCTTCCTTCCTTCCTTCCTTTTCTATATCTTCTTCCTTCTCTCCCTCCCTCCTTCTTTCTTTCCCTCCCTCTCTCCTTTCTTTCTTTCTTTCTTTCTTTCTTTCTTCCTCCCTTCCTTTCCACACTCTCCTTCCTTCCCTCCATCCTTCTTTCTTCTCCTTCCTTCCTTCCTTCTCTTCCTTCCTTCATTGCCTTCCTAATCCATGGGTCTCATAGCTTCTGCCTCCACCTCCGCTCACATCGTCTTTCCCGCCCTCCACCCTACCTGTCTTTCTTTCCTCTCTCTTCCTTCCCCTTCTTTCCTCTTCTCTCTCTCTCTCCTTCCTTCCTTCCTTCCCTTCTTCCCTTCCTTCCCTCTATCTTCTTCTTTTCCCTTTCCTTTCTCTTTCTTCTATCCTTCCCTTCTTCATTCCTTCCCTTCCCTTCTTCCTTCCCTTCCTTCTTCCTTTTTTTTCTTTTTTGCTTTCTTTCTTCCTTTTCTTCTTCCCTTTTATACCTTTGTTTTATTTTTTTTTTTTCCTTCCTCCCAGTCTCTTTCCTTCTCCTTCCCTCCTCCTCTTTCCTTTCTCATATACATGAAGTTGATAGGGCAGATATGGCTTCAAACTACAAGAGATTCCATCTGAACATGAGGAAGAACTTCCTGACTGTGAGAGCCGTTCAGCAGTGGAACTCTCTGCCCCGGAGTGTGGTGGAGGCTCCTTCTTTGGAAGCTTTTAAACAGAGGCTGGATGGCCATCTGTCAAGGGTGATTTGAATGCAAATTCCTGCTTCTTGGCAGGGGGTTGGACTGGATGGCCCATGAGGTCTCTTCCAACTCTTTGATTCTATGATTCTATGATTTAGAGAGGATTGAGAGCTTTCCTGTGGCACAAAGTGATGGGCCCTCAAGTCTGGGAAATGATGGTTCTCTCTGTGAGAAAACTGGCTCGGAAAGTGCAGGGCCTCAAGGGCATTCAGGGGAGTCAGAAGTAGCAACAGCGGATAAGGAATCGAGTGAAGAGCTGAGCGATAAGGAGGGTTTCCCATGAGAACCCACGTGCAGCTACGGAAGAGATCAACAAAGGTCTTTGTTTACAAATCAAAGCTGAAAATGGATTGCACTTTTTAGAGAAATTATGTGGGAAGTTGTGAAAGAAATTCATGAGATACCAAATGCTTTCATGGGTGTCTATTAAGCAACAAGTGGTTTACCTTAAGATCAGTTCAGTCAATGCTGTATTGCAGTAAGAAGCCAAGCCAGTCAAAATCAAAAGTTTTTTCAGGCTATATGGCCATGGTCTAGAGGCATTCTCTCCTGACGTTTCACCTGCATCTATGGCAAGCATCCTCAGAGGTAGTGAGGTCTGTTGGAACTAGGAAAAAGGGTTCATATATCTGTAGAATGACCAGGGTGAGACAAAGGACTCTTGTCTGCTGGAGCTAGGTGTGAATGTTTCAACAGACCACCTTGATTAGCATATAATGGCCTGACAGTGCCTAGAGCAAACTTTTGTTGAGAGGTGATTACATGTCAAGGTGGTCAGTTGAAACATTCACACCTATCTCCAGCAGACAAGAGTCCTTTGTCTCACCCTGGTCATTCCACAGATATATAAACCCTTTTTCCTAGTTCCAACAGACCTCACTACCTGAGGATGCTTGCCACAGATGCAGGCGAAACGTCAGGAGAGAATGCCTCTAGAACATGGCCATATAGCCCGAAAAAAACTACAACAACCCACTGTTTTTGCAATGTTTATGTGTTTTAGTTGTTCTGTAACCCATCTCAAACCATGAGGAGAGCAGGGTAAGAAATAAAATTATCATCATTATCACCTTATAATGATAATCTAATTTTATCATCATCATCATCATCATCATCATCATCATCATCATTGTATAGTTCATTGCTGGCCATATTTCCAATTTGTATATCTCATTCTTCCAAATGTAATCCTGCACTTGGAGTTTTCTCGTTCACACAATAGCTGTAAGTCTAAGGTCCCATCTAGACTGCCTTATAATGCAGTTTGAAACTGCATTACACAGCCAGTGTAAATTTATATAGAATCATAGAATCAAAGAGTTGGAAGAGATCTCCTGGGCCATCCAGTCCAACCCCATTCTGCCAAGAAGCAGGAATATTGCATTCAAATCACCCCTGACAGATGGCCATCCAGCCTCTGTTTAAAAGCTTCCAAAGAAGGAGCCTCCACCACACTCCGGGGCAGAGAGTTCCACTGCTGAACGGCTCTCACAGTCAGGAAGTTCTTCCTCATGTTCAGATGGAATCTCCTCTCTTGTAGTTTGAAGCCATTGTTCCGTGTCCTAGTCTCCAGGAAGCAGAAAACAAGCTTGCTCCCTCCTCCCTGTGGCTTCCTCTCACATATTTATACATGGCTATCATATCTCCTCTCAGCCTTCTCTTCTTCAGGCTAAACATGCCCAGCTCCTTAAGCCGCTCCTCATAGGGCTTGTTCTCCAGCCCCTTGATCATTTTAGTTGCCCTCCTCTGGACACATTCCAGCTTGTCAATATCTCTCTTGAATTGTGGTGCCCAGAATTGGACACAATATTCCAGGTGTGGTCTAACCAAAGCAGAATAGAGGGGTAGCATTACTTCCTTAGATCCTAGACTCCTATTGATGCAGGCCAAAATCCCATTGGCTTTTTTTGCCGCCACATCACATTCCGAGGACTCCAAGATCTTTTTCACACATACTGCTCTCGAGCCAGGCCTCATTGTCCCCCATTCTGTCTCTTTGCATTTTGTTTTTCCTCCCAAAGTGGAGCATGACTCTACACTGCCACAAAGTGCCCAAAAATGCAACTCCCAGGATCCCGTAGCATTGAACCAGAGCATGTAAAGCGATGTCAAACTGCATTAATGCTGCACAGTGTAGACGAGAGGGAGGAAAAGGAGCAAAGCCGAGACCAGACTCACCTTCGGTGCCAGGAACTGAGACAATTTATTCACTACCCATTTTGGCAAAGACCCTGCACGAAAGAGAAAGCGGGTTTTACAAACGGTGTAAAGGGGGAATAAAGGGCATTGCAATCCAACCTCACTTTAACTGCCATGTGTCAATGATATGCAATCTGGGGAGTTGTAGTTTTGCAAGGTTTTGAGCATTCTCTGCCCAGGATACTATAGCAGGCATTGGAAAAGTTGGGCTCTCCAGGTGTTTTGGACTTCAGCTCTCACAATTCCTAACAGTCAGCCCTCCAGGTGTTTTGGACTTCAACTCCCACAATTCCTAACAGCCAGCCCTCCAGGTATTTTGGACTTCAACTCCCACAATTCCTAACAGCCAGTAGGCTGTTAGGAATTGTGGGAGTTGAAGTCCAAAACACCTGGAGGGCCCAAGTTTGCCCAGGTCTGTTCTATAGCATTGAGCCATGGCAGTTAAACGGATATCAAACCAGGTTAATACGACAGTGTAGGCGCGTTCTAAGTCGTACGGAATGAGAGGGCAACACGGATATGTTTGATGCAAGTGAGGCTGACTCACCTTTGGGGTCTACCTGCGCCAGGTAGGTGAGGGTGCAGTTTTTGGCTCCTTTCCCTTGGATCAAGTAGCCAGTCTGGATGGAGACGGCTCTCACCATGTCCTTCCGAGGAGGGTATTTCTGAAAAGAGATTGATTGAATTTAAAAAATCCTATAAAGTTTGAAAAATGTTCTGTTCCTGGTTTGAAAGTGTTATTTCCTATTTAATTGTGTGGTCCTTACTTGGAAAGTAGCTGTTATATTCCAGAAACTTTGTTTTTGTGGCACGAAACTATGCTAAATTGGTTGAGACTCAATGAGATATTGTTGGGGTTCAGCCTGCGTGTGAACCTGAACCTGATTCTCTGATTGTATTTCCTGATGCTATTGAAAATGTATTTCTCCCTGAGGTCAGTGGCTTGGAAAGCAAAACTACACATTCTAATGAGAATGTTGCAGAGCCAAGCGGTGATAACTCTCCAGAGGAGATAGCACCTGGCTTCCTTAATGAGGATAGAAGAGGACAGATTTGGAAAAACAGGAGTGGATCGCAGAGTCTACGAAGGTCAAGCAGATTAAGGGAAAAGGAAGCTCAGGCTTCAAAGCCTGGAGGCGTGTCACGAAACAGTTTCTTCAGTTTTAAGTGCCTCTCGCCGGGTTGCCTCGTTAGATCAGGCATCGTTTAGACCAGTGTTTCTCAACCTGGGGGTCGGGATCCCTGTGGGGGTCGCGAGGGGTGTCAAAGGGGTCGCCAATGACCATCAGAAAACATAGTATTTTCTGTTGGTCATGGGGTTTCTGTGTGGAAAGTTTGGTCCAATTCTATCGTTGGTGGGATGAACTATAAATCCCAACAACTACAATTCCCAAATGGCAAGGTCTATTTTCTCCAAACTCAACCAGTGTTAACATTTGGGCATATTGAGTATTTGTGCCAAGTTTGATCCAGATCTATCATTGCTTGAGTCCACAGTGTTCTCTGGATGTAGGTGAACTACAACTCCAAAACCCAAGGTCAATGTCCACCAGATCTTCCCAGTATTTTCTCTTGGTCATGAGAATTCTGTGTGCCATGTTTGATTCAATTCCATCATTCATGGAGTTCAGAAGGCTCTTTGATTTTAGGTGAACTATAAATCCCAGCAACTCCAGCATTACCAAATGACAAAAATCAATCACCCCCAACCCCACCAGTATTCAAATTTGGGCGTTTTGGGTATTTGTCCCAAATTTGGTCCAGTGACTGAAAATACATCCTGCATATCAGATATTTATATTACGATTCATAACAGTAGCAAAATTACAGTTATGAAGTAGCAACGAAAATAACGTTATGGTTGGGGGTCACCACACAGGAGGACCTGTACTAAGGGGTCGCGGCATTAGGAAGGTTGAGAAACACTGGTTTAGACTGAGGCATTACCTTGGCAGATTTCCCTGTTTCCCGTGGCCTACATCCCAAGAGGCTTTTAGTGCTCCAAGTACGGTTAGTGATTTGCTAACAGGTTCCAGGTTTTTACAGTGTTGCTTTTGGAATTTGGACCTAGTTCATGGATATTCCTGACTGCTGAATTTTACTATGGCTTTTTGACTTTGCATTTTTCTCTATTTTGTAACCATTTTTCATCAATAAAAAGGGATTGGTTTTTTCCCACAGTCAAGTGTGGTGGATTGTTATCTTATGGTCTCGTTTCCTGCTCTGGATCGCAACAGATATTCATTGAAAAACTATAGCAAAATGTGCTCCTTCTCCGCTACTCACCGGATGCTTGACGGAGTAGTTCATGATGATGTAGTCGTTGCCCATGGGCAGCCAAGAGCGCAGCGTGATGACGTCTCGGTTCTTCAAGGGTTTCGGACACCGCCCTGTGGAAGGACAAGCAGTGGGTTAAACCGCTGACCTGCTGAGCTTATTGACCAAAAGATTGCAGGTTCAAATCCGGGGAGCGGCATGAGCTTCTGCTGTCAGCCCCAGCTTCTGCCCACCGTGCAGTTCGAAAACATGCAAATGTGAGTAGATCAATAGGTACCGCTCCGGTGGGAAGGTAACAGCACTCTATGCAGTCATGCCGGCCACGTGACCTTGGAGGTGTCTACGGACAATGCCGGCTCTTCGGCTTAGTCATGTCCCAGAGTTAGACATGACTGGACTTACCTTTTAACTGCATCAATTCCACAGTGTAGATCAGGTATGGGTAAACCTTGGCCCTCCAGGTGTTTTGGACTTCAACTCCCACAATTCCTGGCCTCAGGCCCCTTCCTTTTCCCCCTCAGCTGCTTAAGCAAGTAGTTAACTCATTCTAATTACGATACAGATCCTGCCAATTTCGTAAATAATTTTCCTCCCACCCCCTAATTTTGTAATGAGTATTGAAATGTTTATTTTTCATTGATTGCATAGGCCTAATTAGAACTTTTTGAGGAGTACAATACTGTACACTCCAACTGTGTTCCTGTTTTGCAAGGACAGTCAGAATTAATCCTCCGCCATTCCAATTAATTCAGACGCATTTAAAACGTCGTCTCCACTGTATTGTACATGCAGTTTCAACCGCACATGAACGGCTATGGCTGTAAGCCTGTAGGTTCTATATAGCAATATTAAATGACCACTCACAAGCCGGTTTTGCTTTGAAATGGATATATTGCTTGTATCTCTGCAGCAAAGAAAGACACTACTGAGTTTTTCCCACCACCACTTCCTTTTATACACCTTTCCTGCCCATCTTCTCCTCTTCACAGTTTCCTGATTAGAACTTGTTGCTTCACAAGTTCCAGTACAATATTTCCAGCACCCTCTGCTGGCTTCAAAATGTCACAGAGAGAGAATTGATTCAGCCAGGATGATTCAGTCAGGATGTCACGAAGGGAATTTGTGATGTCTTCATGCCATCAGAAATTGACTCCTGACAATGGCTCCGTGCTATGGATGCATGGAAATTATAGTTTCCCAAGGCAAGTGACTCACAGGAATAGTAGCCAACATCGGCGTTGACGGTCAGCTTTCCAATGTCGAAGGTCTCAATGACGTTGGTGTCCCACTTTTTCCTGTATTCAATGTCATGCAAGACATCATAGAGGGTCTCCGCCGAAACGTCCTTGCAGTCCATCCTGCACTGGAGAGAAAGAGGGAGGCAGGGGTCCGTTAATAGGGAAAGCCCACTACTATCATCATCATCATCATCATCATCATCATCATCATCATCATCATCATCATCATCATTATTGAGCCTCAGTAAAGTGTGCAAAATGGTGAGAAAATTGCAACTCTTGTCCTTCCCAGCATGCTCTTCTCTCTGGATTAATATTCCCCAAATCCCCCAGCTAGCAAAGTGAAAACCCAAAAAGTAATCCAAACTACAAATCCCACAATTCCATAGCACCGAACCATGGCAGTTGATGTGGGATAAAACCGCATTTATTACATAGTATAGAATTATAGATGCACCTTTAGTGCATCCCAAAGGCTCCCAAAGTGACCCATTTAAGGTGGAATCAGGTGTCAAACAGGGATGTGTTCTTATTCTCCATCTTCATCCCTATGATCCTGCACCTTGTTGATAGGAGGTATTTATTTATTTATTTTATTTGTCGTGTCAGAGCAACCAGTCCATTATATTACATTTCTAACAGAACAAAGCAAACAAACAGACAAAATACAAAACATCTTGTGAGTTTGGTAGTTGGTTAAATGTCCTTTGACCAGTATCTGGCCACTTGGAGTGCTCCTTGTGCATGTGGCAGGGCTCAGGGTGCATTGCAGCAGGTGGTCAGTGGTTTGCTCTTCTCCGCACACGCATGTGGATTCCACTTTGTAGCCCCATTTCTGAAGGTTGGCTCTGCATCTCGTGGTGCCAGAGCGCAGTCTGTTCAGCGCCTTCCAAGTCGCCCAGTCTTCTGTGTGCCCAGGGGGGAGTCTCTCATTTGGTATCAGCCATTGGTTGAGGTTCTGGGTTTGAGCCTGCCACTTTTGGACTCTCGCTTGCTGAGGTGTTCCAGCGAGTGTCTTTGTAGATCTTAGAAAACTATTTCTTGATTTAAGTCATTGACGTGCTGGCTGATACCCAAACAGGGATGAGCTGGAGATGTCTCTGCCTTGGTCCTTTCACTATTGGCTGCTACTTCCTGGCGGATGTCAGGTGGTGCAATACTGGCTAAAAGTGTAATTTCTCCAGTGGTGTAGGGCGCAGACACCCTGTGATAATGCGGCATGTCTCATTAAGAGCCACATCCACTGTTTTAGTGTGGTGAGATGTATTCCACACTGGGCATGCATACTCAGCAGCAGAGTAGCACAGCACAAGGGCAGATGTCTTCACTGTGTCTGGTTGTGATCCCCAGGTTGTGCCAGTCAGCTTTGTATGATATTGTTTCTAGCACCCACTTTTTGCTTGATATTCAGGCAGTGCTTCTTGTAGGTCAGAGCACGGTCCAGAGTGACTCCCAGGTATTTGGGTGCGCTGCAATGCTCCAGTGGGATTCCTTCCCAGGTCATTCCTCAGAGCTCGGGATGCTTCTCTGTTCTTGAGATGAAAGGCACATGTCTGTGTTTTAGATGGGTTAGGGATCAGCTGGTTTTCCCTGTAATAGGCTGTAAGAGCACCTAGAGCTTCGGAGAGCTTCTGTTCTACCGTCTCAAAGCTCCCTGCTTGAGCAGTAATGGAGGTATGATGAAATATGATAATACATCACCGCTGGACACCACTTAAATGAAGTATATATATAATATCACACCACTGGACACCAATATAATGTATATATAACACAACCGGTGACGCGAGGCTGGAGGCTTATTGATATTATGTCTGGGCAGGATGGATCTTCCCCAAAGATTTTCTTTTCTTCAAAAATCCCATCCTTGTGCCTCCAATATAATAGCGAGTCGATGATGTATATGTGATATAGCGAAGAGAATACTGCTTGTCTTTAATCTTCCCTTCTGAATTAAAGCTGCCACCAACCTAAGTAGTTTTAGGATTTTTAAAACGAATATTTGAGGTAAACCTTTCCCACTCCTGCCAACACTGCTTTTTCCCCTGGCTCCCAAAATAACTGTGGGTTAAGAGGCTTTTCTGTAGTATCAGGATATTCAAAATGCTGGAACTATCGTAAAGGCTTGATGATAAAATGATGCACAGTAGAGATCTTTTGGGAGTTAAATAGAACAAGATTTATTTCTAAAAACAGACAACTAACTACTCCTGAGAGGTACAAAAATCGTGACTTGTTACAAAAGTACTTCAGCTTGATGGTTGCTTGAATAGTTCTCTTCACTTAGTTACAAACAGAGCTAACCAAACAGATCTTCCTGTTGGTAACAAAAACCCTCACTCTACTTCAGAGAAATAGTAATGAGCTCTGACTAACCTATCCTAGGTAGTCCCTCTACCCTAGAGTTCTTCCTGCTAACTAACCCAGCCTAGAGAGCTAATCTCTTGTACTAACTCCCACAAGAAATCAGACTGCTGTCTGACCTTTTCCCTGTCAGCACACAGCACAGTCTGACACAGGCACTCTCTCCCTGAAAACCCGGTTTCAAAAGCCCTTCTTCACACACCAGCTCCCAGTTCTCAACTTTCTCTGAAGCTGAAATCTTTTCCCTCCTAAGACTTGGCTCCTCCCAACTGCTCTAGCCAATCCTAGGAGACTCCAAACTCCTCCCCTCTTCTAACTCTCGTCACTCAAGATGGCTGCTTCCCTGGCATACACTCCCAAAATGGAGGTTCGCCCTATTGTTATCCAGACTTCCTTTCCAGCCTACTAGGTAAGATTCACTACAGGAGGCTTCCCACCGGAGTGGAAATCATCAATCAGACAGATGGCAAGCTACTGGACCTCAGCAGACTGACAGCCCAAACCAATAATAATAATAATAATAATAATAATAATAATAATAATAACAACAACAACTTTATTTTTATACCCCGCCACCATCTCCCCGAAGGGACTCGAGTGGCTTACAAGGGGAAAAGCCCACATTACAAATAAAAACAGCATTAAAATAAATCAAATAAAAACATAACACAATCACAAGACATCATCTTAAGACAATAAGGTTGAGATAAAAGTCAAAGCTGGAATCCAAGGTCACAACAACGTCTGTTATAGAACTCCAATATGCTGATGATAACGTAGTCTGTGCGCATTCGGAAGAAGACCTACAAGCCACTCATGGGCCATCCAGTCCAACCCCCTGCCAAGAAGCAGGAATATTGCATTCAAATCACCCCTGACAGATGGCCATCCAGCCTCTGTTTAAAAGCTTCCAAAGAAGGAGCCTCCACCACACTCCGGGGCAGGGAGTTCCACTGCTGAACGGTTCTCACAGTCAGGAAGTTCTTCCTCATGAATATCGAGAAAATTAAAATGTGTTGTCAAAGTCTTTCATGGCTGCAATCACTGGATTGCTATGAGTTTTCCGGGCTGTATGGCCATGTTCCAGTGCTCTTTCAGCAAAAGGCACCAGCCAATCCCTCTGCAATGCCAGAAGTACAGCTGAATGGTGTAACATTAGAGAATGTTGACCATGTCCGCTCCCTTGGCAGCCACCTCTCCACCAAAGTCAACATCGACACTGAAATATAGCACCGCCTGAGCTCTGCGAGTGCAGCATTTTTCCAAATGAAGCAGAGAGTGTTTGAGGATCGGGACATTTGTAGGGAAACCAATGTGATGGTCTATAAAGCCATTGTCCTGCCAATCCTGTTTTATGCCTGCGAGACGTGGACTGTCTACAGATGTCACTCTTGACTTCTGGAATGATTCCATCAGCATTGCCTCCAAAGAATCCTGCAGATCTCTTGGGAAGACAGGCGGACAAATGTCAGAAGCTGGAAGAAGAAGCAGAGACAGTCAGCATCGAAGCGATGGCCCTCCACCATCAACTCCGCTGGACTGAAGGCCATGTTGTCCAAATGTCCAAAGATCACCATCTCTCAAACCAGTGACTCTACTCTCAACTCAAGAATGGGAAATAGAATGTTGGTGACAAGCATC